TTTAATCAAAGATAGTGCTCTTGAACAGAGCCTAAAGAGATTCTATGAACTTTTGAGAAGCAACAAAGAAATCCTATTCTTAACCTTGCTATGTACAGTATAATAGCAGTCACACGTTGACTTACACACCACTTCACAGTGCTTTACAGTCTCCTCCAAGCAGTCAGCATATTGCCCCCAACAATCTGGGTCCTCATTTTACCAACCTCAGAAGGATGTAAGACGGAGTCAACCTTGAGCCAGTGAGAATCGAACTGCTGGCAGTCGGCAGAATAGCTGAAATGCTGTTGGCCTTGATTTGATTGATTGATTGACAGATTGATTATGCACCATCGGGTTGATGTCAACTCTTAGTGATCGCATAGATCGTTTTATATAAGGTGTCCTCTCTGAGCTTGGTTATTTTCTTGCAAGACCTTGCCTTGGCCAAACTAGGCAACAACATCAGTTCGCTGATTATGTTACCTACTTTGGGTAATGAGACATCTGCAAGAACACAACCAAGCTCAAAAAGCATGAAGGACCCCTCACTTCAACACTGAGCTACAAATATTCTCCTCCATCGATAGTTTTATGCCTTGATGATCTGCCCCTGGCTTGGTCCTTCAGGTCTTCCAACAGTCCATCTCTTGCCATTTTAATTTGAGTTCATCCAACAAGCTGCTGATTGTCCAATCCTTCTCTTTTATTCCACCGTTGTCATATTAGAGCCATCTCCAGAGACCTGACATACTATATCCAAAATAAGATAATTTGTGCCTCAAGTGAGAACTCTCGATTATTTCCTTGGCTATCCATGATATGATCAGGAGTCTTCCCCAATACCAAAGTTCACAAGCATCAATATTCTTTGCTTCCAGTGAGTGCCATAAGGAATGCCGTTGCTTGCTTACCTTTAAGTAAGTGGTCCCCAACTTTTTGGGCACCAGGGACCGGTTCCGTAGAGATAAGTTTTTCCACAGACCAGAGGGGGCATGGTTTTGTGCGCTGCCTGCATCCTGCCAATGGGTTTTTGGTTGTTTGTGTGGCCCAGTTGCTGGCATGCCACAGACTGGTGCCAGTTCATGGACTGGGGATTGGGGACCCCTACTTTAAATAAGTACTTTTGCACACAGACATATCATAGCATCAAAATATCTTTTTCCAGGCCTTCGTGACTATTGTATCAAGTGCTAGTCTGTAGCATATTTCTTGACTGCTTATCCCTTTACTGTTGATAGCTAATCGTAAAAAGCAGAAAGTATCTACCACTTTCATATTTCATTGTCAATTCCAAAACAGGTTGTTGTACCTGTTGTCATTAGTTTGCTCTCCTTTATATTAAATTTTAATCCCATTTATTCACTTTGGTCCTGGACTTGTATTGCTAGATTGCAGATGCTTTCTATTTCAGTTATCAAAGTAGTTTCTTTAGCATAATGCAAATTATTGATGTTTCTTCCTTCAATTTTAAAACATTGTTCATCTTCTTCCAATCCAGCTTTTCTTAATATACAGGTGAAACTCGAAAAATTAGAATATCATGCAAAAGTTCATTTATTTCAGTAATGCAACTTAAAAGGTGAACCTAATATATGAGATAGATTCATTAAATGCAAAACAAGATAGTTCAAGCCGTGATTTGTCATAATTGAGATGATTATGGCTTACAGCTCATGAAAACTCAAATCCACAATCTTAGAAAATTAGAATATTGTGAAAAGGTTCAATATTCTAAGCTCAAAGTGTCCCACTCTAATCAGCTAATTAAGCCATAACACCTGCAAAGGGTTCCTGAGCCTTTAAATGGTCTCTCAGTCTAGTTCAGTAGGAATCACAATCATGGGAAAGACTGCTGACCTGACAGTTGTGCAGAAAACCATCATTGACACCCTCCATAAGGAGGGAAAGCCTCAAAAGGTAATTGCAAAAGAAGTTGGATGTTCCCAAAGTGCTGTATCAAAGCACATGAATCGAAAGTTATGTGGAAGGGAAAAGTGTGGAAGAAAAAGGTGCACAAGCAGCAGGGATGACCGCAGCCTGGAGAGGATTGTCAGGAAAAGGCCATTCAAAAGTGTTAGGGACTTTTCACAAGGAGTGGACTGAGGCTGGAGTCAGTGCATCAAGAGCCACCACACACAGATGGATCCTGAACATGGGCTTCAAATGTCGTATTCCTCTTGTCAAGCTGCTCCTGAACAACAAACAATGTCAGAAGTGTCTTACCTGGGCTAAAGAAAAACAGAACTGGTCTGTTGCTCAGTGGTCCAAAGTCCTCTTTTCTGATGAGAGCAACTTTTGCATCTCATTTGGAAACCAAGGACCCAGAGTCTAGAGGAAGAATGGAGAGACACACACACTGCAAGATGCTTGAAGTCCAGTATGAAGTTTCCACAGTCTGTGTTGATTTGGGGAGCCATGTCATCTGCTGGTGTTGGTCCACTGTGCTTCATTAAGTCCAGGGTCAATGCAGCCATCTACCAGGAGATTTTGGAGCACTTCATGCTTCCTTCCGCAGACGAGCTTTATGGGGATGCTGACTTCATTTGGCACCTGCCCACACTGCCAAAAGCACCAAAACTTGGTTCAATGACCGTGGGATTACTGTGCTTGATTGGCCAGCAAACTTGCCTGACCTGAACCCCACAGAGAATCTATGGGGCATTGCCAAGAGAAAGATGAGAGACATGAGACTGAACAATGCAGAAGAGCTGAAGGCCGCTATTGAAGCATCCTGGTCTTCCATAACACCTCAGCAGTTCCACAGGCTGATAGCTTTCATGCCACGCCGCATTGAGGCAGTAATTGCTGCAAAAGGGGCCCAAACCAAGTACTGAGTACATATGCATACTTATACTTTTCAGAGGTCCGATATTGTTCTATGTACAATCCTTGTTTTATTGATTGCATGTAATATTCTAATTTTCTGAGATTGTGGATTTGGGATTTTCATGAGCTATAAGCCATAATCATCTCAATTATGACAAATCACGGCTTGAACTATCTTGCTTTGCATGTAATGAGTCTAACTCATATATTAGTTTCACCTTTTAAGTTGCATTACTGAAATAAATGAACTTTTGCATGATATTCTAATTTTTTGAGTTTCACCTGTATATCATCATATAAATAAGGGGAGACTATACAACCTTGTTTCTCACTTCTTTGCCAACCTGGAGCCAGTTTCTTGCATCATGTTCTGTTTCTGCTCTGGCTTCTTGACTTATTTATAGATTTTACATGAGGACAATGAGATATCTTAAGATTCCCAAATACATTCCCAAGCAAAACACGATTCCAAGTCCATTCCACAGTTTGAGATAATTATAACATAATCAAAGGCATTTCTATAATCAATGAAGCACATAGTGACTTATTTCTATTCTTCTTTGGCTTTTTCAATTGAGAATTATGTCTCATGTTCCTTGGCATTTTCTAAACCAAATCTGAATATCTGTTATCCGGGTTTGAATCTGTGTTGGATGGTTCTAAATCTTATTTTGCTAGCACATGAAATAAAGAATACTATATGATAGTTGACATATGCTGTTAACTCTCCTTTTTGAATATTAGAATATTGATTGACCTCCAATCTTTTGTGTTGTTCTCCAAATTTACAGGAATAGCTAGAATCTTTACTCATTCTTCTTTTGTTGCTTGCCATATTTCAGTGAGCCTTCCATCAGCTCCTGGAGCTGACTCAGTAAGGTTAGAGTGCTGATTTAACTTCATCTTCTAATATTAGAGGTTCTTGTAAAATATCCTGTACAGTATTTCAGTATATTTCTTCTACCTTGGATATTTTTTGAATCAGCTGTTTGTCCATTGGCATGAATCTTTTTCTAATTTCAAATATCTTTTTGAGCACTTCCTTTTGTTCCATATCTGTTTTCATCTTCAAAGTCTTCACAAATTTTGTTGTAATACTTCTACTTGTATCTTCTAACAACACTCTGAAATACTTCATTATGTTGTACTGCATCCAGTTTTGGTCACATTATAAAAAAGATGTTGAGACTCTAGAAAAAGTGCAGAGAAGAGCAACCAGGATGATTAGGGGACTGGAGACTAAAACATATGAAGAACGGTTGCAGAAACTGAGCTTGGCTAGTCTAGTAAAGAGAAGGACCAGGGGAGACATGATAGCAGTCTTCCAATATTTGAGGGGCTGCCACAGAGAGGAAGGGGTCAATCTATGTTCTAAAGCACCTGTAGGCCAGACAAGGAATAATGGATGGAAACTGAACAAGGAGAGATTTAACCTGGAAATAAGGAGAAACTTTCTGACAGTGAGAGCAATCAACCAATGGAACAGCTTGCCCTCGGAAATTGTGGGAGTGTCTCACTTGAGACTTTCAAGAGGAGATTGGATTCCCATCTATCAGAAATGGTGTAGGGTCTCCTGCTTGGTTGGGGGATTGGACTAGATGACCTATAAGGTCCCTTCCAACTCTGATTATCTGTTAAAGTTGCTTTTAGCCTTCTTGGCTTTAACATTGCTTCTTGGTCATTTCCATTATTAGTTTTGACATCCATTTCTTCTATTTCTTCATCATTGGAAAGTCTGTTTTCACATTCATCCTTAATGACTTCTTTGGTTTTTTCTAGTTCCTCTGGTTCTCTAGCAATGAGATTTGAGACTTCAAACCCATTTGTGATGTTCTACTTGAACATGATGGGAATATGCCCAAGGTCATATTACAGAAACAACCACCAACCACCTCCCCCCCCTCCAATTTTTCCTCCCCTTCTTTCTCTCTCCTTATCCCTCTTCCTCTTCATCCACACAAGCAGTTTGTACTCTGTCCTACAACAGCAGCTATGTTTGTGGTGCTAAACCTGAGTTCCTTTACCTCCTTTTAGAAATACACACTCACCAAGACACATACTGTACATTTATATCCAGACACACATACTATCCATTGCTAAAATGCTGTTGACATACATTATCACCAAGTCTACCAACAAATATCAATTTAAAATTAACACAACCAGAAGAAGAAAAGCCACTGTAAGAATACCTTCCATTGCTCTTTTGAAGAAGACTTTACAGCTTCCACAGGTGAGGACACCGTAATGACACCCAGAAGCTTCATCACCACAGATAAGGCAGATCTTCTGGGGCAAAGGTTCAAACCCATACTGAGGGCTCTGACCAGCTTCGGCATCAGACCTAAACCAAATAGACAAAAATAAGAAACTGAAAGTTAAGAAGGAACTTACTCTACAAAGGACTATCAAACCCTGAGGAGTTTAGAAAAAAACAGAGCATGTACTTGATAAATAAGAGAGATTTTTCCAAAGAGTTGTGAATACAAGTCAACCCTCTTGGGTTGCAGTACAAATTTAACAGCTCTTGCAGGGAGCTACTGTCTCTTGTAAAGGCTCATCTGCTTCCATCTATGACGCATAAGGGGTGGAAGATCTGGTTATAGGCACATTAAAGCCTTGCCCCCCCTCCCAAGGATGTAAATTTTAAATAAATAAATAAATGTCAGAATAAACACTTCTAGCATTAGAACTGTCTGGATATTTTTGTAAGGGCATGCTTAAACATCCAAGAAATGAGTTCAAAGTTTCTCCTCTTACATTTCTCCATATTCCTTTTAAAAAAATGAAAATATCAAGTTTTATTAGGAAGGGGACCCTACAAAAAAACATAGAAATACATCTTCATCTCAATGGAAGGAAGTCTCAGGGTTCCCAAGGAGGAAGCCAAAAGCAAAATTATTCAGTTGAGCAGTAACAGAATATTCTATGCCTCTAGATTTACTCAGTCTTCTCTCCCAGTTCCTGCGCTCATTGTCAATAAACAGGCCTGGAAAAGAAGCTTTAGGCTTCAAAGCCTCCCCCAGACCATCGCTTTACAAACTAGGTTAAAAAAGTAAATCAACTCCAACATCCAACTTTAATGTGCAAACATTTTTTTAAACCTCATTCGAGTATTCTACCTGCTAGCAGCATTCAAAGTAATATTTCTTTTAAAAAAAAAGTGGAAATGTGCAGAATACATTTTAAGATCCAGCTGCTGGAGGAAGAAAACTAACATGAGAGTGAAGTGGAGCTCAGCTCACAGTAAATTACGGCTGGCTAATCCTGAAGTGTTATTTATTTCCCAGCACTCAACTGATCAGTCACCTCTTAAGCACTGGGAGAGAAATCAACTTCTTCCCATTGCTGGCCCCCATAGCAGAGGAAAAGACAATTATTGGATGAGAGGAAGGTCCCTATTTGGGGTGGGGGGGGGGAAAGGAAATGAAAGGAAGCAAGAATGCTTCCCTCTGGTCTTCAGCAACAGGAAATTGAATTGGATCATTCAGAGGCTAAACAAAAACTACTTAAGGGAAGCTAAGCAAGGCCAGTCCTGGTTAGTTCTTGGATGAGAGGCATCAGATAATTGAAAAGATTGAAGTCAAAGTCAAAGACTATCTCAGAAGAAATGCAAACCCACTTCCCACAGTATTGCCTTAAAAATTGCATGGACATACCCACCAAGGCCTCAAAGGCGTTTTTAACTTTATTGGTTATAGTCATTTCCAGTTTAACTTTGCACCCAGCAAAGTTTACTTCCAATCAATCCCCGATATATAAATCAGGATAAGCTCACAGCCCACTCAGTTCAGCTGGCATAAAAATGCCACTTGAGGTTTCTTTATCAATCATCAAAACAGTGGACTAGCAAAATTAGGAAAGTTTAGTTTACTTTACTGTCATTGCACCTCATACAATGAAATTAAATGCCATCTTCAGTGTACATCATACGTAAGAAAACTATAAAAATAAAACAAAAACACACATCCCTCACATTCTATACAATTGAATTGAAAACCCCTGATATTGCATTAATATTGCACTATACAGTAGAATTCAATATAGTTACTGACCTGCGATAGAAGCTGTTTTTCAGCCTATTTGTCCTTGTTTTTATTGCCCTGTACCATCTGCTAGATGGCAATAGTTCAAAAAAAGGGTTCCCAGGATGAGATGGATCTTTGATAATGTTTTGAACTTTCTCAAGGCAGTGGGAGCTATAAAGCTGTTCCAAAGAGGGCAACCAAAGAGGCAATCCTCTGGGCAATGACATTTACTCTCTGGAGTGCTGTCCTATCTCCCACTGTGCAAGGCAGGGGGATGCAGAGAAAGTAATTCGCAAACAAGGAACAAGAATCTACAGACCATCCATCCATTTATCCATCTATTGATCTAGATTGAAAGACATACAACTTTCCAGTATCTCTGGAAAGACAACATGTTTATTAAGCACTAAGGAATGTAATAAATAGAAAATTAATCAAATTTATTTTAAAAAAAAAACTTTCCAGTACCACTGGAAACAATATTATGGGTAATTAACATGGACAGTTCCAGAAGACGTGGCTGTAGGTTTTCCACCTTAACCCTTTCATATACCTAATGGCAGCAGAACCCAAATTACATCATGAAATAAGAATTTGGGTGTGTGGAAATGACGTATCTAAAGAGAAAAATAAAACCACTGACCCTGCTAAATGCAGAATGAGGAAGCTTATTGGTAGAAAAGTGGTTTAGACAGATTAAAATATATGCATGCAGGTGCAGCCCTTCATTTAGCAATCGTTTAAAGTTACAACATCACTGAAAATAAAAAGTGATTTACGACCAGTTCTCATACTTCACAGAATCCCCATGGTCTTTTTTTTTTTTTCCGTCTTTCAATGACCTCGTAATCCCTTGCATCAGGGTGGAGTCAGGGCAACTGAATGAAGCTGAATGTTTACTGGACGGATGTGCTTCCTTTTGCCAACCCAGAATTCACAGCAGATATTTACTCATTATGACCAGAGAGAGTAATACCTGCTGCTACCTAGGATCAAACTCACAGCCTCCTGATTGTGAGGCGATCAGAATCCCAGTGGCCTACAGTCATAATCAGGGGGCAACCACTTTGTATTTACGATGTTTGCAGAATCCTGAAGTCACGTGATCACCACTTGTGACCTTCCCGGACAAGCAAAATCAGGGGGGGGGGGGGGGGAGAGCTGGATTCACTTAACAACCAGATGGTTTACTTAACAACTGCAGCAATTTGCTGCTTAACACCTTTTGCATGTGGTAAAAATGATCACAAAATCAGGTATGGCTCACTTAACCATTGCCGTGCTTAGTATGAGTAGTCCTCAACTTACAACAGTTCATTTAGTGACCATTCAAAGTTAAAATGACACTGAAAAAAGTGACTTAGGCCCATTTTTCAGACTTAGGCCCATTTTTGGCATCCCCTGTGGTCACATGATCAAAATTCAGACACTTGGCAATTGACTCATATCCCGGGGTCATGTGGTTACCTTTTGTAGCCTTCTGACAAACAATTCAATGGGGAAGCCAGATTCACTTAATGACTGTGTTATTAAGTGAACAATTACACTTAGTAACTGTGGCAAGAAAGGTCATAAAATGGGACAAAACTGTCCCACTTTACTTAACAACTTCTCACTTCACTGTTTTCTCCTCCCAATAAATAATACAAATAAGTACTACCCCAATAAGTAACAGTCGTAGTAGTAGTAGTAGTAGTAGTAGGTGTAACGGTGTGGTATGCTGGATGCTCTGCAGTGGATAAGAAGATGCTCCAGAGAGTTATAAACACAGCACAAAAAATCATCGGTTGCTCTCTTTCTTCTTTGGAAGAGATTGCGAAGACCAGACTCCTCTCTAGAGCACTAAAAATCTCCACAGACCGTTCTCATCCTGGTCATTCATATTTCACGTTACCATCAGGGAGGCATTATAGGTGTCTTAAAATGAGGACTAATAGACTGAGAAACAGTTTCTTTTCCAAGGCAGTAATTGTCTTGAATCAAACAGTGCATCTGTGATTTAATCCTATTATTATTATTATTATTATTATTTATTTATTTATTTATTTATTTATTTATTTATTTATTTAAAACTGTAGTATGATTGTGATGGAGTAGCTTTCAAATTTCATCGTATTCATGGAATGCAATGACAATAAAGTTATTCTATTCTATTCTATTCTATTCTATTCTATTCTATTCTATTCTAGTAGGTCTGTCCCTTCTTTAGTCGCCTAGCTACAGGCGCCTATTTCTCTCTTAAGTGATAAAAGATATTAAGTACTTTTTTTTTTTTAATTGGAAAAGGTGTCGGGATTCCGGCAGTTACTCCAATTAAATCATGAGCCTCGAACCACACTCCCAAAACTAAAAAGGGTTTATTAGAAGTTAACATTCCGGCATTAACCTGGGCGTAGCCAACTCTGCGATGTGTAATTCACTGTCACCCTTGACCTTGCTTTCCCCCCCCCGCCACCCCTCTGGGTATATCATCTGAGTCTATTTAGAAGTACCTAACCCATACTTAGTTCTGAACAGCTCAGGGGTGTGATTTGAAAATCCCAGCAACTGGTTGGCTGCCCAGTTGCTGGTGGGTGTGGCCATGGTGGGCGTGGTCTACCAGAACTTCCAGGAGGGCTGTTTTTCACCTTCCCAAGGGTATGAGGGGATTCCCTTGGGCCTCTGGGAGGGAGAAAATGGCCTCCCCTGAGGTTTGGAGGCCCCCCAGAAGCCGGAAACAGACCCATTTATGGACTTCCAGTACTTCCAGAAGCCCTGTTTTTCCCCCTCCCAGAGCCTCTTCGTGGACCCTGCATTTACCTACATCAAAAATACACCGTGTGGAGACTCCTGGGAGGGGAGGGGCAGAGAGGGAGGGGCCAACTGGTTCAAATACCGGTTTAACAACCAGTTCACCCAAACCGGTCCAAA